TTGAAAATGGATTGATTCATTGGACTGAAACTTTTTGATTGATTCAACTGAATATTCATTAATTGATTGGATATTCATTAATTGAATTGATAAATTTATTGATTGATTGATTGATTGAACTTGATATTGATTGATTCAATTGAATATTGATTGATTGATTGAATATTGTTTTATAAGGCTGGCGCACCGCAAAATTTGGAAAGCAAACGCCAGTCTTATAGTGTAAAAAATGACATGTGTACAGTTAATATTGATTGATTGATTGATTGATTGTTTGATTGTTTGCTTTGATTGGAGGTGTGCCAAAAACCAATTGGGTCGGCACCCACTGAACACATGTATCTTAAATAATTGATCTGCAACCAGCCGTGGCCATATGATGCCAAACTTAATAAATAGATAATTAAGAAATGGTGTCACTTGTTTTTTAGTGGTAGTCTGTGATAATCGGATTTATGTAGTGAATACGTTATAAATCCATTTATCACAGCGCCCCACGTGGAAGGATGCGCGCGCAATATATGCGCAAGAATTTGTACATTCCATTCTCACACCATTTCCAAATGTTGCACGTTTAGGGTTTGCTGTGAATTTTTAAGAAAATTTACCCGCCCTTCCACACCCCATATTACTTTGAGTTGTTTTCTGCGCCGAGTTCTTTTCATTTCAGAGAAAGAGGCATAAGGAGCCAAGCTGTCAATCATTCTAAGACCTTGCCTTAGTCACGACCGGCCAAAGCTGCCATTCCTTGCCATACAATGATGAATGCTATCGTGATGGACACTTCCAGGTACGAGAAGGAAGGACTTCGCTCACCCAATCGTATTGGCTTATTGACTCTAAACAGGGTGAAGCTGCAACACGATAACTATCGATCAAGGACTAGACAACACCCATCGTCACGGCTGGTCATCTTATTATGCGGACAATATTGTCTCTGTAATTGACAGAGCGAAGAGCCAGTTGGAGAGATACATCGAATAGCGCTTAACACAAATCATCTTGACACGCGTCGCTGTTAACAGGGCGCAGCTGCAACTTGATTATGTGGATGACTTATCGATGGAAAACAATTAATTGACTTGATAATTAACACAGAACATTGATTAATTTATTGAAATATTGTTTGGCTTAAACATAAACTTACTACAATTCATTGAATTGAGTGAGTATTGATTGATTGAACATTGATTGATTGAACATTGATTGATTGAATATTGAAACATTGATTGATTGAACATTGATTGATTGAATATTGATTGATTGATTGAATATTGATTGATATTATTGAAAATGGATTGATTCATTGGACTGAAACTTTTTGATTGATTCAACTGAATATTCATTAATTGATTGGATATTCATTAATTGAATTGATAAATTTATTGATTGATTGATTGATTGAACTTGATATTGATTGATTCAATTGAATATTGATTGATTGATTGAATATTGTTTTATAAGGCTGGCGCACCGCAAAATTTGGAAAGCAAACGCCAGTCTTATAGTGTAAAAAATGACATGTGTACAGTTAATATTGATTGATTGATTGATTGATTGTTTGATTGTTTGCTTTGATTGGAGGTGTGCCAAAAACCAATTGGGTCGGCACCCACTGAACACATGTATCTTAAATAATTGATCTGCAACCAGCCGTGGCCATATGATGCCAAACTTAATAAATAGATAATTAAGAAATGGTGTCACTTGTTTTTTAGTGGTAGTCTGTGATAATTTTTCTTTCTGGTTAATTAGCCGCTAGCAATAAAGTTTTTCTCTATGTTTATAGCTATGTTCGCGATTTTTTTAATCGGTTCCATTTAGCTCGAGATAACGAAGTTTGACTCTCATTCGTACCTGTAAATAAATGTTCATATGAACAACTTATTTTTTTTAAAGGGGTAATTTGAAGAATTTAATAGATTAATGAGAATCTGTACGATGTTACAATATGGTTAACTTTCGTTCGAAACACCATTTTGGTCCAAAATGATCAGATTCTGTCATGAGCAAATTTACTACACACCGCTAATTGGAACTCTTCTAACAAGGTGGTATTGTCATTTTTCATTAAAGTTTGTATGTAAATGTATATACTCAGTATAATATAGAAACACATTTTAAACTAGGTCCAAGGACTAAAATGTGCGTTTCTGGTTAAAAAAAAAAGAAGAAATTATTATAAGAAAATAATTATTATCATATACAGTTGAACTTCGTTATCTCGCACAATGACATCTCGAATTATACTGATATGTTGAAGTATTTTAAAGTCTCATCCACTTATTCTTTAAGTAATTTACATTCCATAAATCTACTTGGATACCTCGAAGTTTTTTTCGGGCCCATCGAGTTCTAGATAACGCGGTTTGTCTGTATTTTTAGCATGTAAGTAAAACAGTTTCTGATTGACGTGGATAGAATTTTCAGAGTGCCTTTTCATCTTTCAATCTAATAGCTATGTTGCAACCATAAAAATGGTTCAAACGTCAATGTTTAGTGCGTAGTTTTTTGAACGCCAATTTCAAGTTTAACACCAGTTAAAGGAGTTCAGTATTTCAGAAAATCTCTGAATGAAGGAAATTTGACGAGAAATATTCTACTTTGATGTGCTCTTATTTATTACCAATTTCATGGAAATATACAAAATATGCTATTAATGAAAATGTATCGACTTCTAAGTTTGTATCCTACAATACCCCTTCTCCTCAATTTATGGAGCAATTAATGACGAACCGTCCATAACTGACAATTCTAAATGAACGAAATCAACGTATCCATGAAACAAAATTGAATTTTTAGTTTCTTTTTCCCCCTTTTTCTGGTTGATGTGCACTTAAGCTAATAGATTCAATCGAAAAGTTTTTAAAATCATTTTTAAATAATATTTTTCATGCTTTAAATACTGCTTTCATATTATGCATTTGTTAGCAAATTATTTATGCTTTCCATAAAAATGCATTTTTTCAGTTGACACTGAATAATACAGCAGATACAACCGTAAACCACGAATCTGCCTTACCATTCAACTATTCGCTTAATACAGCATCTGCTTGTAGCAGCTGTTAAATACACAAGATATAAAGGGTGAAACGTCAGCATACATGTATTTTCAAGCAGATTCTCTAAATTCATCAAAAAAATAAATGAATCACAAGGATGGTCTGATTATAGGAACGTAGTCGTGCACTCATATTCAGCTCTCATTTGCACCTGTTATTGAAGTATCCATGGATTCCATATAAATCAAAGGTGTCTAACGGGAAAAGGTACGTATTGAAGCAAGTAGAAAAATTAAAAGGTCATGCACAATCATTAGGTTATTGTGGACTTAATAGTAATGCCTGCGTTTTGTATACTTGAGCAAACACGCTACTGATAAAAGAAGTGGCTTATAATTATTTGCACCCATCATTAAAAATCCACTAAGTTCGTACAAAAATACAGCCACGGAGCACAAATTACCACATAATTTTAGTTCTTCTCGTTTCTGCAGAAAAAATAGTACATTGAATGTATATTATGCATTATATTACCTATTTTCTGTAATTGCCTTTCGTGATCTAGATAAATTGGGATTTGTATATAACAAATTTTAGAATTAACCCGACCGGGTGTAATTACACTTGAAAAAATGAATTAAAGTGTTACAATTATGATTTTAATAACCGCGTGTCATAATTATATACTTTAAATGTCAAATGTAATAAAATAAACATACTCGTGTCTCCCAGCTATCCTCTTACCGACATAATCAGGATTTTTTTTTTTCGTAGTTTGGCTACAACAAAAAGAAATTTACGGTCTTAGCGTGGGCTAATTGCTGCAGTCGGCAAAACGCAGAACTTCTAAATAGGCAAGAAGACAAGATAGTCATCGGTGTAAAATATCACCTCAAAACTGATTTTTGAACAAAATGATTTACCTGTCTTTTCTTAAGACTTCTTTTTCAACTTTATGAATTAAATTAAAATCAGTGGTTTTAAGAGCCAAGGATGCAACCGTTAATAAACATCGAACGGCGCAGGGGGTCTGGGACACAGGGAGAACCTTAATGATCTAAAAAGAAAGAGGTTAGATCGTTTATATTTCTTTTCTAAAATTTTATGAGATTCTTTTATGAAATTTTTTGTGAGGGTTAAGAAAATGGTCTCTAGATTAAATTATTTATTCTTGATAAGACCCCTTGGGTATTTTGTTATTTGAAATGTAAAATAGGGATAACGCTTCTTTTCGATTTAAAGAATCGATTTAAAAACTTGATTTATAGGTATGCAATATTCAATTATATCCCTATCAATTACAATAAACCAATCTCTCATTTTTTTAATCGCTAGAGCTTGTCAAAAATCCTTTGAGAGAGAGAGAGAGAGAGATGTTTCAAGATTAACATTTCAGATAGATTCAAACAGTGTGCAGGTAATACAAGTATAATTGAAGTCAAAAGAATTTAAAAAAAGTTTTGGGTATTAAAAAAAAGTATACGTAAACGTATATATATTTTTTACATAGATATGATAATGTACTAGATTCCATCTGTAAACAAAGTCTGATTTAGTTTTGATTTTTTTCTCCACTTATTTGTATTGATTCAGAATTTAAGTTCACGAAACATTTAATACAAGTTGAAATACAATGCAGAGTGAACCATTATATGAAAAATGAAATCAAAAGTTAATTTTCCCCATACTGAAAGAATGATAAACTTCTTTCAAACAGGTTAAGTCATAGATGGAAGCAATAATTGCATTTGACTGAATGCATTTTAGTAAATGTTCCACATCAAATAATTATCATATAGCGTCATGCGCAACATCATCAAAGGCCTTATAATAGCAGCAAAAAAAGAAAATCATGAATTATGGATTTTTCTACTGCTCGATTAATTTTATTTAAAAGCCGTGTGACTTGGTGTGTTTCTATTGGGTTCTAGTCTATAAGGAAGGCGGAGCCTCGGAAGTAAACAGGTCACTTTTAAAAATTAAACCTTTTAAATAACACACTGAAGCTACTTATCAGATGATAGCGTGAAAAAGACGTCCGATTTTCCTGCTAACTGAAAAAGAAAAAAACACGACGAGTGCTATGTTTTGTTTCTAGTGAAAATGATTAAGCATTATTTTACGGATAGTCAAGTTTGCAGAATTTATCTGGAGGGAATCGGACAAAAGGTGTGAGAATCCCCCAGACTCGGGACGATTACGTCGGATTAGGACAAATCTAAAGAACATCGATCGAAAAACATTGATCAACTCCGCTACAGATCTATACCATTTTTAATTACAAACGGATTAAAGCGTCAAAAGATGATTTATTTAGGCATGGAAATGAGATTATTTCTTGTAAACGAAATAAATTGACTCGTATTGCGGTTCTTCATTAATTCTGCGTCTATTCCACGAGATTGGACATTACGGGTGCCAGCTATTGATGTGTAACGTAAACGGTTAGTTCAATTTATTGGAACCTCGACTGTTTCTGAATATGATAAGAGACACTTGGAGCTTCATCGTCTTTCATAACAGGTGTGCATCGTGATACTCGAGTCTGCAGGTTTATGTTCGGCAACATGAAAGGTTTTCTGTGCTACATATTGGTGTTGCTTTTTCTAGAAGTGCACGGTTTGGAAGTGACTTACGATCTTGCAGAAGAATCGGGAAGTCGAGTGCTGGTTGGAAATATAGCAGCTGATTCTGGGCTAGCTAACAATGTCAACAGTCTAACATACAGTCTCCTACAGGCAGGATACCCTGCGGCAAGGTCATTCATTATTACAGAGACTCAGGGTGAACTGTACACAAACGCAACGATAGATCGCGACAGCATTTGTGAATTTCAAGATCAATGTGTGCTCAATCTGGTAGCTGTTGCCTCCAATTCTGATACTGGAGATTTCCACAAGATTAAAATATACGTCAATGTTATAGATATAAATGACAACTCTCCTATATTTCCAAAGACCGTTGTCAGTTTTCAAATAATAGAAGACACCGCTATCAATTTTACGTATTCTCTAGAAGGCGCCGTGGATTTAGATACCGGTATCAACTCGGTGAAAAGGTACGAAATCCCACTGCACGATTCACCATTTCAAGCTGTGGCAGACAAATTTCCTGATGGTCGTTCCATGTTAAAACTCATCCTCAAACAAACATTAGATCGCGAAACAAACCCTACTCATCAGTTTCGAGTGCTGGCTTATGACGGTGGGAGTCCACCAAACACAGGTACACTGACGGTGAACATTTCAGTGGGGGATATCAATGATAATTATCCGATATTCTCTAAACCCTCTTATAACGTTACTATAATGGATGACCTTCCAGAAGACTCTTTGGTAGTGAAAACTTTTGCAAGAGATAAAGACGAAGGACCCAACGGGGAAGTGCAATACAGACTACAAGTGCGCCAATCTGAGGACATATTTCAAACTTTTTACATGAATTCAACATCGGGCGAGATCTTTCTCAAGAAATCGCTCATATCCGGTTCTCAAGAAAGCTATAAGATTCTTATAGAGGCAATTGACAAGGGCAATCAGCCCCTGATATCAAAATCACAAGTCTTTGTGCGCGTGCAAGATAATCACAATAACTTTCCGGTGATCAATGTCAATGTTTTATCTGGAACTGATACTGCTGAGGTCTCAGAACACGCCAGTCAGGGGACCGTGGTGGCACATATAGCAGTTAAAGACCCCGATACAGGGGCAAATGGTCTAGTAACTTGTGATGTTATCAGTCAGTATTTTAAAATTCAAAAGTTCGAAGAAAACGAGTATAAAGTCGTGGTCTTTGCGTCATTAAATCGGGAAATGAGGGATAGTTATGAAGTGACTGTGAGTTGTAACGACGCCGGCAGCCCACCCAGAGAAACTAATTCAACTTTCCCCGTCATTGTTGTAGATGAAAATGACAGTCCTCCAAGATTTGACAGACAAATATATTATGCGACTATATCTGAAAATAATAATGTAAATATCAGTCTACTCACAGTGTCTGCAACAGATGATGATATTGGGGTTAACGCAGAAATTAAATTTTCTGTATCAAATGAAGTGAAAGACGATATAAACATCAATGAAAATACTGGAGTTTTGATTTTAAACAAAGCATTAGATAGAGAACAGCAAAGTCAGATATCATTTTATGTTTTTGCGACTGACTCTGGAAATGTTCCATTAACCGGAACTGCTACAGTGATAATCACAGTCAAAGACGAGAACGATAATACACCAACGTATCCGGAGGACGTCTGGAAATTCGCAGTACCAGAAAATTTAGCTGCGCCCAAAGTAATAGGATTCGTTACAGCATTTGACAAGGACGAGGGAATCAATTCAGAAGTGAGGCATTATCTGATGTCGTCCAATGGTCACGAGTCTCCTCCCTTCGAGATGAAAGAAAACGGAACCGTGATGGTAACCCGATCCCTCGATCGTGAAACTGTTGCTTTGTATGACTTACAAATAATGGCTATGGACAAAGGATCCCCTGCAAGGACGGGGTATGCTTTCCTAAAGATCACTGTGGAGGATAAGAACGACAATAAACCTGTGTTCACCTTCCCCAGCGAAGCAAATCGCTCCATCACAGTTCCATTATCAACCGCCAAAAACAAGGAGGTGGCTACTTTAGCCGCCAATGACAAAGATGTAGATATGAATGCACAATTGAAATACTATACAGATGATCAAAACATGACTGAAATTTTTATTATAAACAGTGCAAGCGGCGAAGTTATACTCGCGCGCTCATTAGACTCGGATGACCTTGGCCTGTATGTGTTTAAGGTCAAAGTTCAAGATTCAGGGGATGAACATTTAACTGCAGAAGAAACTTTACTCATAAATGTGATAGCAGACTCGGTTGCAGACGATTCCAATTTTTCTCGATATTATGTGATAGCTATCAGTATGTCGACAGTGACATTTGTGTTAGCCATTGTGATAATAGTAGCTATATATTTGTTACGAAAAGTTGATAATAAACGGAGGAGATATGATAGTGGTCACTCGTCTATTACCATAGTAACCAAGGAAGCGGAGAACCCGGATGTGTATGAAAACTCGCCACCTCTCCATAAAGAGGTCTTTTATCCACCTGGGTACGACCTGGGCAGCCGACAATTCTTCCCCATTGATCGATCAATTTCAGTCCAGGTATAACGATGATAATCAAATCAACATTTGATATTGCAATTTATTTCTCATCATTTCAGTTGATTTTCCTCCTCTTTTTTCCTCAAATTTTCTTAATAATCTGACTTGTCTCTCATTCAATTTTATTCGTTTCTTTTTAGTTGATTTATTCATTATAGATAATATCAAGTAATTGTTGCTACCTTGAAGTTTGCTCTTTGGTTTTCCCCCTTTTGATATTTATCCTATCACTTTACCCGAGTTTTAAATGGACAAAAAGAAATGCTGTAAGTTTGTGTGTAGTTTATTCACAACATGTCAGTTCTGCAATGGATGCCACTCACGCAAGCATTAGGGACAAGCTCTATAGACCAATATGACGACGTTATACTGCTTAGGGTTAATTTAGCGGGGTGTTCGTTTAGTGGTCACCTTGGGAGCCTGCTGTCGCGTTTGTCCAAACGGAGCCTTTCAGTTCAATTAATAGTGATGTAATTATCAGTTAAGTCAACACGAAAAAGCCCTGTCCAATCAAATAAAAATTATTCTTTATCCTGATTTTAATCTTTGCCGTTTTCTTAGTGACGCATAGAAAAATGACACTTTGAAAAGATTTCAGTTCCTGTCGATTCAAAGAAAACATTCACTTTCAACCTATTATATCTCGTAATCTTTGTATTCACAACATTAATATGGTTCGGCACCAAGAAATCTGTTTTAAATCTTATTAAGTTGTATTGAAATTTTTTTTTATTGCTACGACTAGATTTTCTCAAAATGTGCTGTACTTTTACAATGGTAATAAACAATGTCTCCTGATTAACTTTAAAAAAAATTAAGAAATCAATAATTCAAAATTAGATGTTTTCTTTCTATATTTTCCTTAAATGTCCAGGTACTATTGGATTGGAAAGAATATGCTTTTTTAACAGAATTTAAGAATTTGAGTCTAATTGTCTATCGATCTGCGACACAAGACACTATTAAATTCAAATTAACGTCAAAAGGAGCATTTAAAAATAATAAAATATATCTTCTATTACAAGTATGAATAACTGTGCAATTCGCCTCGTCATGTAATTATCTTCTCGAATATTTTCAAGAATGAGCACGAAAACTTTTTTCATTAAGTAAATTGCGTCTGTCATAATCCATGAGTTTAAAAAAATGTAAAAAATATTTTAAAAAATAAACAGTATAATATATTTTATTCATTCCTATTGTGTTGTGTAGATTCCACCAACAATTCCGGAAGCGGACCCTCTTCCCAAAATTCCGAGTGACCCGACTTTATGGGAAGGATGTGAAAGCGTGAACGAAAACGAGAGAAACAGGAACCAACTAATGACCCTACAATACCACCAATCCCTGATGAGGATACAGAGCGTCAAACGCTCAAATTCGGTATAAAGTTCTCATCTTCTGAAGTAGATCATCTCACACAAACCAAAATAATATTTTCTTTGAGTAATATAATTTAATTTCTTAAAATTGTTCGAGACAAAAGGTAATCACTATAATATATTTTAAGTAAAACTACTTACATGTATATTTTAGGCAAAAATAGTAAAGGAGGAGGATCGTTGATTTTACAGAAAATTCATTGGCTGACAAAAAAATAAATTATTTCTATACAACATTATTGTAACATTTATTGAGACTAGCATTTTTGTAAATGCCTGCGAACATTCTGCAGAATTGCATAAAGTTTTTAACTAAACAATTAATAATTCTGTTATTTTAAGCTATGCTTTAGTATGAAACATTCAGTGATTTATTCGCATTTAACACCGTTTACAAAAGCTTAATTTTTTCAAAAGCAAAATCTGAGGGTAAATATTAATTGACACGGAATTATTTATCTTGATCTTGCGGTTTCCGGATATTTGCAATTAGTGTTAGAGTTGTTTGTGAATTTGATTAGACTTATTTCAAGAGAGCCAAAGTTTTAAGCGAACAAAACAAATTGAATATCATGCCCGTAGCGGATTTTGGTAATGGATGTATGTTTATTTTATTTTAACACATGCATTAAGTTTATGAACACGATATGAATATCATTTAAATTTTGAATTAGACAATGGATCCAATACTGCGGGTACTCGATATACAATATTTTTCATCTTGTAGTGCAAATACTATTTTTTCATGGTTCAATCTATTGTTAATCTTATCCGTGACCTTAATCTATTTTGTATTTCTTTTTGTAGACAATTTGACGGATTGGCAGTTGAACCACAGAAAGTTTTAATTAGATATACCTTTTCGCTTTGGGCTGCTCTTTCACAAGAAACAAACTAACAGTGAATACATTAACAAGGAGATTACTTGACTGTGTAAATATGGCGAGAAACTGAGAAAAATCTCACTGTAAATATTGATTCACCTGTTTTTACAAACTGATACCAAAGTTATACAGGGAACAAAAGCTTCTTATGCGGATGAAAACGGAAGCCGATCTTGTGTAAGCACGCGACGAATCAGGCCGATGAAGGACGAATAATGACGAATCAACACAGCCTGGAGATACCGCAGCCAGCATTAATCGTAAGTTTACAAGGATTGTGAATTTTAAGTGCAAAGTGAAAACGCTTTTAAGGGATAATCGCTGAGGTCTGTGTCAACCTTTTTACTCTTTGGAATTAACATGAAGGAACTCAAGTGTTAAGTAAATCACACTTGATCGCAAAAACATAAACGACACGAATTTAGACCATATTTAAAAACAAAAATACATGTTAACACATGCCTTTGCATTGAAAATTACTTCTGTTTGAAATTACTTCAACATTTGTAATAAGTCCTTGGTTGTTCATTAAATTGCCCAAGGAAAGTTTTGATGTAAATTCAGAACCTTTCATACACTTCAAGGGTACTAATTAAATACTTCAGAATTTAATTTCCCCCTTTTATTCATGTAAGAGATCAGTTAATGGTAAATAAAATGTATAGTAAAGCTCGAATGGTAGGTGATTGTTAAGATTTCATTTTGTTGGTTTTTTCATCATGATTATACTCATTATTGTATTGAATGTTTAAAACAAGTGTTGTTTTCAGAAATTGTCATCTGATATTAATCTGTTGTCATAAACCCCAAACTTTCAATAAATATTGGCTTAAAAGCGTGCATTTAACCCATTTATACAATACTAAATACAATTGCTAGACTTATTTCGGCGATTTAATTCCCTTTCTTTTTAAATATTCTACAAGTCCCCTGGTTCGTTGGTGTACTTATTGACACGAAATTAATTTCACTGAACTTTTATTCAACTGCCAATCTAAGTGGTATTATATTAAGCATGTTTTTTTTTTCTCCTACAGGTCGAACGGATGAAAATGGCAAATGTATCCCGAAGTTCTAAATCTTCGAAAAGCCCCCGTATTGACAATTTTGGCTTTCAGTGCAGCAAGCAAATGAAGCAAGTTTCCAGTAACTAGACCATTATCTTTTCCGTTTACTTGTAAATGATGTGCCAAAGGCTCAGGGTTAACCCCTTAATGGATGGAAATAGAGATTTTATTGCAATAATTGAGACATTTTTCATGAAATTACGTTTGTTTGTATGATAGGGCGAGATTTAAAATTTTGATTACTTATTGTATTGTTATGTTAATATGGTGCTACAAGATGTTATGAAATTAGATTAAACATTAAAAAAATGTCTGTCTGATGCTTTTTGTTAGAGTCTATATGAACTACATCAGGTTAGTGTATTCCTAGACTCTACGTTAATGAAAAAGACATATGCATTGCACAAAATGACACTCCCATCGCACTCCTTGTCACTGAGAGTTCTAGACTGCGCGCCAAATTAGGTCCACCAAATTATGGATACTATTGAATATCCAAATTCTTTCAATCTGTGGTTTAATGACAGAAATAGTTATAAGGACCATGATTTCTATACATGGACATCAGAAAATGTTCTGTTAGCTATAAAGGCTGTCTTTAGTTCGACTGAACATTTAACATACTAAATGTACATTTCCTAAAACCAACAACTTTAAATGAACATGAAATATTACTGTGTATTCTCTGAAAAGGTTGTAATTATCTAGCAAATGAGCACGAACACGCTAGCTCGTAAAAACTGTTTTATTCCGCTCAATACAAGTGGTACAAAAGCGTGCTCATTACACTGATTAGTGAACAGGTTCGGTGGTCTTTTCACTGCTTGATCTCTGAAAATTCTGTGACATTAGCCTGAGATGAATTACAGAGTAGACAGTAAAAGAAAACGTCGGCCCCGTAGGCTTGTTATTTTTTTCGCGTAATGTACATTCTCAAGTAACCGTATATTTCTTGTATTGATACCTTTAAAAATCTTGAAATAAACAGCTTAATGGGAACTGATCAGATGGTTTATGCAATTTCAAGTTCATTTTGAGAAGATAACCCAATGACTCGATTTAGAATTTGAATATAAAACTTGATATCCGGTTTTGTATTTCGAACATTTTTAAACTCATTCTTAGAACACAACATGTGACAAAAACGCTTTTTTTATTGCTTTTTCAAAGGCCTTTTTTGGCAAAATCATACAAATTTTCCGTTATATTGAAATACAAGATATAACAAATATGGATACGCTGTAAACAGCAGGTGTAACAGACACTTACGTTACTGTGTGTCCTTTTACGCAAATATTTACTTCTGGAATACTGTTTCAGAATTTCCATGCATAATACATTATTAAACGATCTAATAGCATCAGAAGTCAAAACAGGGAGTTTATGACTTCCAACAAAAGGTATAATGACCATGTTTAACGAATGGGATTTTTATTTAGTGTGAATAGTCACTGATTGATAAAATAATAGCTACATCTTGTAGAAGATGAACTGGTTTCTGCATGGTATTGGTTTTCTATACAGTGCTCAACATGAGGTCAGTTTGATGTGGAACTCTTGGACAGTAAGTGTCCTCGGGAGTTTTTGATGTTGACCGAGGACTGATGACCGTCGCAGATAGTGCCATGATATCTGTACCAAACACGTTTTAATGTTTGACCATCGACGCTATCAGGAATAAATTGAATTTATTACGGTGTTTAATACTGTGTGGCGGGCGCCCTATCAAACAGCAATTTACTTTTCAGCGTTAATGGCGCGGCACGCTCCGAGTGTCGCCAAAAGTTGCTCGAAAAGTTTTGTTGTAAATTATAGATTTGATGTGTAAACGGGGGAAATATGTTTGTTTGATTATAAGAGTCAAGATTTAAATGCGCAAATGGTATTTTATCAGTTCAACATTTAAATTTTTAAAACATGTGCTTAGAATTCAGGAACATCCCTGTGATTTGTGTACTTGCAATGTAAATATTAGGGTGTACGAATCATCATATGAAAACACACCTACATTACCTATAATTACCTTTACAAAATTTTTAAACATAATCTCAGCTTTGAAAAATAATTACGTGGATGCAACTAATATATTTTGCGTATATTCTTTGAATTTTAATTTTTTTTTTTTTTTTGCAAACAAAGGCTTGCTTCATTGACGACCTAGTTTCTCAACCACCTGTAAGATGGTACAATGTATAACCCATTTCATCGAAATTGTATTCTACATGGGGTAAATAGTAAGCCTACGGACAAAGTGCTTCCAAACTTGTGTCAACAGACAACATTTCTTATTATTTCCCCTTTTTTTGTATTACAAGAGTCTTTACACTCCCCAAAATCTGTTAATCTTTGTTAAAAAGAGATGTTGAAAAGCGCATTGTTTGCTTTCCACTGCAGGGCTGACAATTCAGAATACTGTCGAAGTAAAATATTATACAGAAATTGAGTGATTTAGACTTCAGATGTTGCTCAGAGAAGTGCTCAATTGAACCTAAATAGAAAAAGGGTGTCTCTTTTATCTTTTCTTTCTGACGAACCAACACAAGGCTAGATTATGTATGAGAACTTGTTTATTTTAACTCTGTTTTTTGTTGACTTCCATTGGCAAGAAACCAGATATTTGAGAGAAGATTTTAAAAAAGAGTAATACACTTCAGAACTCTCCGTCAAAACTTTTATGTAATTATGTAATTTTAAAACCCACAATCTCAAATGCACGGCTATGAATTATGCTAATCAAAACTTATATCCTTGTGAATATTGCATTTCATGTACATAAGAAATTAAAATTTCCTCAGACCCGGAAAATGAAAACTCAGTCATCTGATTGTTTAGATTTCTTCCTTTTGAAAAAAAGCAAATATTTCCTATATCATTAATCATTTAAAATGCAGAATAAAGAAAAAAATAATTAGAGGGAATTAAGGACTCTCTCTCTCTCTCTTACATTACAAGCATTACAAAATGTAAATTTTCACACACACACACCCTCTCTCCCTCACACACACACAATGGTTATAGAAATTGGTTTTTGGTCTCCAGAGAAACAATCTGCCCTTTGAATCAAATTGAAACTCGATTTCCTATAAAGCCATTTCAAAGTGCAGTGGGTTTGTGTAAAGTGTTTACTTCGATCATATTAAGGTCCAAACTGGATGAAAATGTGCTGAATTACATTTACAAGTAAAAATAATTAGCAATTAACACAAGTTGTGTACACTGTTATGTTGTAATTTTTAAATTTTAGCGGGTGGTAGAAAGTACAAAAATGAAAATATGAAAATTTTTCATAATAATATTTTAACATTTACTACCAATAAATTAAAAAATATGTAATTATTTGACCATTATTTATTAATGGATAATTTATTTATTGAGAGGGTGGTAGTATAGAAAAAAATGCAGTTTTGAAGTTATTTCATAGAATCATTTCTTCATGCACGTATGTGTTTATTTATTAAATTTATTCATTTTATAAAGCATTTTATCACATGACTGTTTACTCCTTTATACAGTGGATATAGCTCAAAGGAAATTGTTTTTATATCCACGACTGTGTCAGACGTCGCAATAGTTTTTTTTTAATTTAATCAAGTCAAATATTGTGGATTTATAAAATCATATAAAAGAGTGTAAAACATGGGATAGCTAAGTGGAAAAACATGTGATAAAAAGAATCTCCCATGGTTTGTGGTTAGATATAAGTTTTTATCCAATGAGTTGTGTGTGTTTTATCCCCTCGCCAAGGCTCGGAGATAAAAACACATAACTCGTCGGATAAAAAAATCATATCCAACCACAAACCATGGGAGATCCTATATATATAAAGTTATACGAGTAGATATAAACGTCGATTACATGCACGGATCTAGAGGGGATCGGGGGTTCCGCCCCCCCCCCCCCTCCCCCCCCCCCCCCCCGGAATTAGTGGAGTTGTTAAATGTACGTAGTAAAGTAACTAAAAATGCCCCCCCCCCCCCCGAAAACGCGGACCTTTCGTAAGATGGTGGGAAGAGTCCTACATATGAAGTGGAACCCCCACCCTTTCCCCTGGAAGAAATCCTGGATCTGGATCAGATTGCCAATGGTTATATCTAAGGTAGATAATGTATTTCTTGGAGCAACGTTTCTTTTCTTACCTTTTCTTTCCCTGAGAGTTATCTCGCATGCTATTTGTTATTACTCAAAGTCTTTTAGAATATAAGGAAAGTATAAAGAACTGCGAAAGATAGTATTGTTCTCCCGCCTACCTCCAAGTCAATTTTCAAAAGTTAAGATATTCGAATGATTTTAATATTTATATTGATATTTATATGGATTTTCATAAAACATCACTTCTTTGGGAAAACAACGAGAGATAACTCTAAAATTTTGGTAAAACTCGTGTTTTTCACTATAGAAATCAAAGGAAAACGGAAAATATTTTTAAAACATCTTTCCCCCCCGTGAAACAAAAATTCCTTTTTACGGGTAATATGGACTGCCATTTCACACACTCATACCAAAGCTTTTTGTGTTTCACGGGGGGAACATATGTTTATATACAAAAAACGACAAAAATGCTTATTTTTTTCAGCAATTTCCAAGTGCTTTACAACTGAAACATTATATTTTACTAATAAATATGCTTAATTTTGTATGCATAAAACATAAGAAAAAGATCTAAGAAACATTAATTCATATCCAAGACTATTTCAGAATATGGTGATGCTTTATAGCCCGATTTCAGTGGAAAATATCGTCTACCCCCCTTATTTCAAGAGCTGGAATTAGGGATATTTTACTATTTAGCACTGGAATTAAAATAATTCATCAGTTACCATTGAACTGTTCTTTGTATTAAACAAAGATTTTATGGCCAAATTGTCATCAATATTGAATTAAATGGTTGTAAAATGTAGGCGGGAATCGGGAGTTACCGTGCGTAGTTCTTGCTGAAACTCAACTAATACAAATGTTGATGGCGTACACTAGTAGAGAATTCTGTTTTAGACACCGCTTGCACATTTTTAGACAAAATCTGCTTTTTAATATACGAGCTTTAGGTCTTTTTAAAGGCTACAGAGAATGGACGTCTCTTCACTTTTGTTCAAACATTTATTAAACATTCTGGTAGATTTATCTTGTTAGTATTGACAATTACATACATTAGTATATGTACATGTACAAAATCACATGTATCTATATATCTACAAAATGCACCGATTTAAATTACATACAGGGAGAGGGCGTATAGTAAGTTTTCAGAACGTGTGCCAAATCTCTTTGTAATTATGAATTACAATAATATATGTTCAA